GAGGCAACGCGGGACTGGAGCCGCGCCGGCAGTAGCAACTCCTGACAGCCCCAGCTGGATACCTAAGCGGAGCCCGGGCGGGCGGTGTGAGCGGAGCCCGGGCGGGCGGTGTGAGCGGAGCCCGGGCGGGCGGGCGGTGCGAGCGGAGGCCGCTGAGCGGCAGGAAAAGGGAGCTGGGCAGCGATTTCTTGGCGCGCGGTGGGGGGTCTCTTTTGGCCGGCCCCGATTTTTTTTTCAGAGGGGAATATCATGCCTGCTTCTTGGGACTGCTGAAAGGCCTGTGTTGTGGACTGGAAATAGACGGTGTCGTATCCCTCCCCTTCTGTTGAGAGACGGCTGTTCAGTTTTGACATAGATGGCCCCTTTGACCCCTTTCAAGCCAGCGGTCTTCTCTGTCCAAAAATGTGGACCTTGCTGTCTTCAAAAGAGTGACCTTTGTCTTTTAAATGCAGACTGCTGAACCTTGTCCTGATGGGTTTGTTCTCCCATGTTGTGCCACGCGTTCATGAAGTGATGGTTTTGTTTTCCCCAATGTACAGATTTGCATGTGTCTCACTGCATTGCACTGCATATATACTGTATATAGCGCGCTTTTCGGCACACCACAACAAAAAGGTTCACCATCACTGGAATAGGGGATCCTTCCCCCCTCCTCAAGTATTTTTTTTCCTTTTCTTTTTTTGTTCCCCTGACCCTATTGGCCTCTATCCATAGGTACCAACAACGCTCGCCTGGCTGCAATGCTGAGACAGCTGGCACAATATCACGCTAAGGATCCCAATAACCTTTTCATGGTGCGATTGGCTCAGGTAATGGTGCAGCCTAAACCTCTGCCCAATAAACAGCTTGGGGCCTTATTAAGCTTTAGGGAAACAGCCAGAGAACTGGGCATATTTATTTATTTGGCTATGCCGAATATTCAGGACTCCTCTGTGGCGCTAAGCACAGCATAACTTGACCTTTAATCACACCTGAGAGACTTGCCCATGGCTCACCTGACACCCACTGCTAGCAATGCCTATGGAGGTTCTCAGTCATCCAGGTCATGGTTATCCCAAAGGTGTTTTTTTTTTTTTTCCAAGAGGCAGCTGGACTTTCTTGTATTTTCTTTGATGAATTCCCAGAAAAAAAATTGCAGACTACAGGAGCCATTTGCAGTTTGAGATGCAGACAACACAGACTCATCCCCAACAGCCTGCGCCTGTGTTTAACAGTGAAGGGACACGGGACAGGAAAAACATCCTGCAGAAAGCACAGCTCCACAGCAGATTGTTGGGGGAAATATGCAAATAGTGCAAGTAATGCTAACATTGAAAACTGCTCAGACAATGCTGTAAAGCACCATGGAGTGGTATATAAGTCTTGGTACTATTGCTATTACTATACACCTCTATATTGTATCTCCTGAATATCCCCCCCCCTGCCCTTCCTTCCTTCCTTCCTTCCTTCCTTCCTTCCTTCTCATCTCACGTTTTGATGAAGCACTGTTCAAGGCAATTTAGAACCCTATCCTATCTTCCTTCCTTCCTTCCTTCCTTCCTTTCTTTCTTTCTTTCTTTCTATCTATCTATCTATCTATCTATCTATCTATCTATCTATCTATCATCTATCTATCATCTACCTATCTTTCCTTCCTTCCTTCCTTCCTTCCTTCCTTCCTTCCTTCTCACTCATCTCGTGTTTCGATGAAGCACTGTTCAAGGCAATTCAGAACCCTATCTATCCATCTATATATCTATCAAACTATCCATCCATCCTTCCTTCCTTCCATCCATCCAACCAACCAACCAACGCTTGGAAATAAACCCCTCTATTGACCATTAAGTGGTACAGAGCAGTACATAATAATTGACAACTATGGAAGGAAACCAAGAAGCTCAGTCCATGTTACGAGTGGGGAGCAACTGGCACAGCAACTGACGCTTAGAGCGGCCAGCCTCTTGGCCTGGTCAGTGCCTGTGGACTTAGTGATGACAAGCTATTGGTAGAGTCAAGTTTGGGAGGATGTTTTAACAACCTCTCACTTTTCCTTTTGCTGCGCAGGGTCTGACCCACCTTGGAAAAGGAACCCTCACCCTCTGTCCTTACCACAGTGACCGGCAGCTCATGAGCCAGGTTGCTGTGGCCGGCCTCTTGACCGTGCTGGTCTCTTTCCTGGATGTGCGTAACAGTAAGTATCCTTTTTGGATTTTCAGATTGCTTCTGGGTAAAAGCAGGCGCCCTTGTTAAAAGTCTCCCTCCCACTGTAGGCGGGGAGGGGGAAGCTTTGGCAAAATGGCTCGGGGGTCCATATTTACAATCACAGTTGCGATGGTCTGTTAATGCGGCTGCCAACCCTAGAGAATCTTTTCCTGCTAGTTCTGGGACACTTTTTCTCTAGTTCCACCAAGGCCCAAGGCTGCCTTGCTTCACTGAACCGGCCACTTGGGCAGGATATCAGGTTGAGAGGAAGAACCGGTACCACCTTTCGGTTCTCCCTCTATCCCTTCCTCTGAAACACATCCTCGGTTGGTTCTTGGAACAGCCAGGCAAGAATCTTTGCTTTGCAAATGATACAACAGTGGTGAGACTCATCTCCGGGGGGGATGAGTCTGCCTACCAAGATGAGGTGGACCAGTTGCTTTCGTGGTGTGGAGACAATAACTTGGTCCTCAACACCAATAAGGAGCTTATAGTGGACTATAGAAGGAACAGATCAGACATCCAGCCCTTGCTTAATGGAGACTGAGGGGAGTAAGTGGCCAGTTTTAAATTTCTGGGATGTTACCCTAAAAGAGGACGTGACCTGGGGTGCTCACGTTGCAGCACTGGTCAAATGGGCCCAGCAGAGATTATATGACCTGAGGCTTCTCAGGAAACAACAACTGAATGAAAAACTGCTGGTGACCTTCTACCGCTGCACCATAGAGAGTATCTTAACTTTCTGCACCTCTGTATGGTTTGCCAATTGCACAGGGGCAGATAGGAAAGCGCTCCAGAGGGTTAACGTCATTGCCCAAAGGATCATGGGTTGCCCTCTCCCCTCTTTGGAAGAGCTTTAGAGCTCCCGCTGCCTTAAGAAAATTCAAAGCATCTTCAAAGTTCCATCTCATCCTGGGAACCCTTTTTTTGAACTATTACCATCTGGCAGACGGTACAGGATAATAATAAAAACAAGGACAAATAGGCTGAAAAACAGCTTCTATCCCAGGGCAGTAGCTCTTTTGAATTCTGCTGTATAGTGCAGTGTTGGTGTGGTGTCGGGGGTTTCCGGTTCAATGTGTGAAGGGTGAAGGATGTGTGTTTGTGTTTAATTTTTATAGTTACAATGTACATTGAAGATGGCGTTTAATTTCGTTGTACGAAGTGCAATGACAATAAAGTTAACTAACTAAACTAACCTTAACTTGAGATCCCAGAGAGCCTGTTATCATTAGTTGATCGAAGTAGTTCCCATATTTTAAGATGACTCTTTCTGTTGGTTTGAGCCACATCTTTTTTTACAATTAGGGCTTGGTTGGGGATACTTGATTACATACAGCCCTTTTGCTTTGTGTCAGACGGGAAGAACATTTCTTCTTGGCCAAATGCAAAGCATCTGAGAGATCAGCCTCTCTTTTACTTCTGTGTCCCGTCCTGGGAATTGTGCGCGGCTGACTCCATCTGGGTTTATGGCATCGTCTCTACAGGAGATGTGAGGTGGCATCCAGTGATATTTATTTATTGTATTTATATCCCCCTAGGAGCTCAGGGTGGCTTTCAGAGTGGGCCATCCCTAACTTAACCTCATCAACAGCAATTTTGTGAAGTGGACTAACTTACAACAAAATAATAAACCGAAAGATGCCCAAAGGACTTGAAAACAGATAACAGAAAATAAGCACTGGAAGGGACCTTGTAGGTCATCTAGTCCAACCCCCGCCCAAGCAAGAGACCCTACACCATTTCTGGCAAATGGCAGTCCAATCTCTTCTTGAAAGTCTCAAGTGATGGCGCCCCCACAACTTTCAAGGGCAAAAGCTGTTCCATTGGTTGATTGTTCTCACCGTCAGAAAGTTTCTCCTTATTTCCAGGTTGAATCTCTCCTTGTTCAGTTTCCATCCATTATTCCTTGTCTGGCCTTCGGGTGCCTTGGAGAATAGCTTGACCCCTTCCTTCTCTCTGTGGCAGCCCCTCAAATATTGGAAGACTTGTCTCCTGTCTCCCCTGGTCCTTCTCTTCCCTAGACTAGCCAAGCCCAGTTCCTGCAACCGTTCTTCATATGTATCCAGGTCCATCCCATAAACCATGTTACACCGCTGTCAAACGAACAGAATACGGAGAGAGCACTTCCAGTTTTGGTCCAGTCTCCTCAAACTTTGTCCCTTGTCCTCCTTTCTCTTCTAGTCATCCTTGGGAAGTCCCACTACGTGCTCTATGGCCTTGTGGCTGCCATGCAGCCACGCATGCTTGTGACTTTTGACGAGGAGCTGCGCCCACTGCCAGTGTCGGTCAGAGTGGGACAGGTAAGTGGTCTCAAAAAGAGCAATTGGGCAGGAGTGGTCAGGGTCCTGAGGGTACTTGGGGATCCTGGACCACTTCAGTATTTTGTGTCTGTTGTGGGGGACCTTGGTTTTGAACTTGGGAGGGTGATTGTCTGAATGTTCTGCCACCACTGATGCCTGACCTTTTCTTCCAGGCGGTGGACGTGGTGGGTCAAGCTGGGAAGCCAAAGACGATCACCGGCTTCCAGACTCACACCACCCCAGTGCTGCTGGCACACGGCGAGCGGGCAGAGCTGGCCACCGAAGAGCACATACCTGTCACGCCTATCCTGGAAGGCTTCGTAATCCTGCGCAAGAACCCCAACTATGATGTCTGAGTTGCCTGGGGGTTGGGATGCGGGTTGGCAGGACGGACTGTTCTCTCTCTCTCTCTCTCTCTCTTTTTTGTTACATAAATTGTTTGTTGAAGGAAAATAAACTGTCTTCAGAATAAGGCTGGCTTCTTTTTATTTAAGGGGGAAAATAGGATGGGAGCTTTTTTGGGGGGCTGCAGGATTGGGAAAAGGTAGGGCTTGAAGGAGTTGGACCTTACACGCTTTGAGCTGAGGCTGCCTTGAGTCTTTGTAGTACCTGTGGCTTGACAGGGCCACCCTGCTGTAATAGGAATGTGTTTTTTAAACTGGTTTGATTGGACTCCGAGCTCCTTAGAGTTGCCTAAAACCACATCCTGAGTGGCAAATAAATGTGATAACAGTAACAAAAGGCACCTTTGCTTGGAATGGGAAGCTTACATCCTGTGACAATATCTGTAACACCATCAAACATTCACATCTGCCTACCCCAGGTCCTTGGGAAAGACTCGGTCATCTTCCAGTGACCCCATAATCCCTTCTGGGGTGGAGTCTGGGCAACTGAATGAAGCTGGGTGTTTACTGGCTAGACACCCTTCCTGTCACCAATGCAGAGTTATATTCAGCAGATACACTGCTCAAAAAAATAAAGGGAACACTTAAACAACACAATGTAACTCCAAGTCAGTCACACTTCTGTGAAATCAAACTCTCCACTTAGGTAGCAACACTGATTGACAATCAATTTCACATGCTGTTGTGCAAATGGAATAGACAACAGGTGGAAAGCATAGGCAGTTAGCAAGACTTCCCCAATAAAGGAGTGGTTCTGCGGGTGGTGACCACAGACCACTTCTCGGTTCCTATGCTTTCTGGCTGATGGTTTGGTCACTTTTGAATGCTGGTGGTGCTTTCACTCTAGTGGTAGCATGAGACGGAGTCTACAACCCACACAAGTGGCTCAGGTAGTGCAGCTCATCCAGGATGGCACATCAATGCCAGCTGTGGCAAGAAGGTTTTCTGTGTCTGTCAGTGTAGTGTCCAGAGCATGGAGGCGCAACCAGGAGACAGGCCAGTACATCAGGAGACGTGGAGGAGGCCGTAGGAGGGCAACAACCCAGCATCAGGACTGCTGCCTCCGCCTTTGTGCAAGGAGGGACAGGAGGAGCACTGCCAGAGCCCTGCAAAATGACCTCCAGCGGGCCACAAATGTGCATGTGGCTGCTCAAACGGTCAGAAACAGACTCCATGAAGGTGATATGAGGGCCTGATGTCCACAGGTGGGGGTTGTGCTTACATCCCACCACCTTGCAGGACGTTCGGCATTTGCCAGAGAACACCAAGATTGACAAATTTGCCACTGGCGCCCTGTGCTCTTCACAGATGAAAGCAGATTCACACTGAGCACGTGACAGATGTGACAGGGTCTGGAGACGCCGTGGAGAAGGTTCTGCTGCCTGCAACGTCCTCCAGCATGACCGGTTTGGCAGTGGGTCAGTAATGGTGTGGGGTGGCATTTCTTTAGGGGGCCGCACAGCCCTCCATGTGCTCGCCAGAGGTAGCCTGACTGCCATTAGGTACCGAGATGAGATCCTCAGACTCCTTGTGAGACCACATGCTGGTGCGGTTGGCCCTGGGTTCCTCCTAATGCATGACAATGCTAGACCTCAAGTGGCTGGAGTGTGTCAGCAGTTCCTGCAAGACAAAGGCATTGATGCTATGGACTGGCCCACCCGTTCCCCAGGCCTGAATCCAATTGAGCACATCTGGGACATCATGTCTCGCTCCATCCAGCAACGCCACGTTGCACCACAGACTGTCCAGGAGTTGGGGGATGCTTTAGTCCAGGTGTGGGAGGAGATCCCTCAGGAGACCATCCGCCACCTCATCAGAAGCATGCCCAGACGTTGTAGGGAGGTCATACAGGCACATGGAAGCCACACACACACACACTACTAAGCCTCATTTTGACTTGTTTGAAGGACGTTACATCAAAGTTGGGTCAGCCTGTAGTGTTTTTTTCCCACTTTAATTTTGAGTGTAACTCCAAATCCAGACCTCCATGGGTTGCTAAATTTGATTTCCATTGATAATTTTTGTGTGATTTTGTTGTCAGCACATTCAACTATGTAATGAACAAAGTATTTAATAAGAATATTTCGTTCATTCAGATCTAGGATGTCTTAGTTTTGTGTTCCCTTTATTTTTTTGAGCAGTGTATATTCTCAACGTGCCCAGAGAGAAAAATATCTGCCTCTACCTAGGTTTGAACTCACAGCTTCCTGATTGGGAGGTAAGAGCTCCACCTCTAAGCCACTGCACCATTCCTTGGGAAGGACTCGATAGGCGGACAAAAATGCCAAATCCAGTGTGAACATCTGGCTGGCTGTGCGACAAACCAAGACAATAAACGTTAGCCTTCTGATGAACGGCCAGATTGCAGATTTCTGAGCCATCACTGAGAAGGCCCTTTTTTTGTGGTCCCTGCCAAATGTAAATTGCAAAGGAGATGGGACCCACAACCTACCCTGCCTTCTTGTTGTCATGAAGCAGGTTGACGTAACTGGGGAGAGGCAGTCCTTCAAATACCCTGGCTCCGAACTATGTGGGGCTTTAAATGCGATACCCAGTACCTTGAATTGCACTGTCATGTCCGTGGGAATCTGATTTGGAGGGGGAGGCCGAACAGCTGACGGAGTAGGAGTGTGACTCCATTGGCTGTGGAAGAAACTGGGGAAGGGCAAAGTCCAGCTGGGCAGAGCAAGGGAGAGGGAATTCGGAGGAAGACCTAGGCCCACTCCCTCTTCATCCTAGGGCACGCAGGGTGTAATGGAGAACGGAGCAACGTGAGGGGGAGGAAAGGGCCCTGATTCCCTTCATTAGCTGCATCTGGGAACATAGTGTTTAAAAAGGGAAGCTGCGCACAACAAATCGTGAATTATCTGGTATTGTTATGGCTTATCTGTGTTCCTGGTATCTTCCCAACTGTGTGTGTTTTGCTGTGCTTTCAAGTCTGCAATTCCTTCTCCTGCCCTGTCAAGTTAATTACTGCAGCGTGGTTTGTGTGGATTTTTATTTTCAGTTTGAATGTACTTTATTTTCGAACGGAATTTCCTCCACTTAAAGGCTGTTCCTGGGAGAGTTTTTCTCCAGACGAAGGTAACCTGGACATTGGGGGCAAAGTTGGAGATAATAAAGGGGCTCTCCTTGCTTATTTAACTGTGTTGCCTTTGTGCCGCGCCCCGGGTCATCACACAACCCGGAGCAAAATTGTCAACCAGTACAGCTCCTGCAAAAGAGGTGACGTACAAATCTAGGCTTGTACAAAAACGGTGCGAGCCACTGTGTTTTGAACCAACTTAAAGCTTCTGGATACTTTTCAAGGTCAACCCCACGTAGAGCACATAACTATAGTCAAAAGGTGGTGACCAGGGTATGGCTGAGACTGCAAAGAACACAGTCCAGGCTTAACTGGCACACACGGAGAGGCAAAGCTAGGAGAGCCCTCCAGATTACGTACTAGGTCCCCCTGAGACAGGGCAGGCTCATCCCCAACCAAACAAGCTCACCAAGAACCCAGGGCTCCCAATCCCAAAGCCACTTGGTCCTTTCTGGGCTTCAGTTTTAGTCTGTTGTTCCCCAGGAGTCCAAGAAGGAACCGAAGCTTCCCGCACATCTTGGAAAACGAGACCCTCGCTAAGGCAAGGACAATGTAAGTCAGTGGTCCCCAACCTTTTTTGTACCAGGGACCAGTTTCACGATTATTCATTCTTTGCGGCCCGGTACAAAATGATCCACGGACCGGTACCGGCATCAGCACGCACGACCAAGGCAAGGTGAGCCGTGCGACCGGCCAGCCAGCCGTCTCCCGCTTCTCCCCGCCATCTTCAACTCCTCCTTTGTACCTTCTCGCGGTCGATGGGCTTTTCAGGCTCTTTCTTAATCTCCTCCTGAGTAATGCGAGACTCCACTGCCATCGGGACGGCTCTTTGTTCGAAGCCGCCCCCCCTTCGATGAAACTAAGGCGCGAGGATTCCTTCAGCACCCAAACGCCGCTTTCCAACCGACGACCGACAAGCTCACCCGGAAGCACTTTCTCAAGCGCTGTCGAAACAAGAAGGCGGCGCCCAAGCAAAGTAGGCGGCCCAGTACAAAATGATCCATGGACCGGTATCGGTCCGGGGCCTGGTGGTTGGGGACCCCTGATGTAAGTGAGCAGGAGGAGAAAGCGTGAGCTTGTTCATTGGATGGCGGAGGGTCGCTGCCTTTTAGCTCTGAGCTGATCATGGAGAATATTTGTACCTCGGGGTTGAAAGGAGGGGACCTTGGTGGCGGTCTCTGAGCTTGATTGCTTTACCTGAATAACAGTTGGAAGGGACTTTGGGGGGTCTTCTACTCTAACCCACTGCTCAAGCAAGAGAGACCCTAGGCATTTCACACAAATGGTTGTCCAATCTTCTTAACAGATAACCAGAGTTGGAAGGGACCTTATAGGTCATCTAGTCCAACCTCCCACCCAAGCAAGAGACCCTACACCATTTCTGAAAAATGGCAGTCCAATCGCTTCTTGAAGGTCTCAAGTGATGGCGCTCCCACAACTTCTGAAGGCAATTTCTGTGTTGGTTGGTTGTTCTCACAGTCAGAAAATTTCTGCTTATTTCCAGGTTGAATCTCTCCTTGATCAGTTTTCATCCATTATTCCTTGTCTGGCCTTCAGGGGCTTTAGAAAATAGCTTGGCCCCTTCCTCCTCTCTGTGGCAGCCCCTCAAATATTGGAAGACTGCTCTCCTGTCTCCCCTGATCCTTCTCTTCACTAGACTAGCCAGGCCCAGTTCCTGCAACTGTTCATCGTATGTTTTAGTCTCTAGTCCCCTCATCATCCTGGTTGCTCTTCTCTGCATCTTTTCTAGAGTCTCAACATCTTTTTTATAGTGTGGTGACCAAAACTGGATGCAGTACTCTAGGTGTGGTCTTACTAAGGCTTTATAGAGTGGTATTAGTACTCACTTGATGTTGATTGTATCTTAAAAACCTTCAGTGTTGGAATGCTCACAACTTCTGAAGGCAGGTCATTCCATTGGTTAATTGTTCTGTTAGGAAATTTCTCCTTCATTCTAGATTGCTTCTCTCCTTAGGGTCC